GCTTAGTGACTTCAGCAGATCTCTCAGCTTGATATATTTCATACTCAGATTCTCATTCTGCACAGTGATCTTCAATGATGTGTACACTTCTGAAGAGGTCATGAACAATTGTAGTGAAATCTTCAGGTTCAGTGTAGTCATCTGTCTGTGTAAACATTTAATCTTCTGCTGCAGGCCTAAGATCTGGTTTTCTCTATTCTTATTGATGATGATGATTGCATCAGTGAAGCTCTTCATAGTGAATGCTTAGTCTGCAGCAAATGTCAATTGTTGTTTGATCTCTGTCTCAGCCTGCCACTGCATACACAAGATCTCAATCTCATTTAGAATTCTCATATGCATACAGAGCTTCAATTCCAGTTCAGCAGTCTCAGCTGCTTTTCTTACTGCTTCAAGTAAACTCTCTGAGAGGTTCTGCATACCTTCTGATTCAGGTAGCAGAGAAGGGTGTTGTTCATATCAGCTAGAAGAGGTATTTATTTCAGTGATTTCTCATTGATTGTATGATGTCTATTATTATCACTGTATTGTTATATCACTATATTGCTGTATTATTATATCACTATATCATTATATCACTATATCACTCTGTTATCATTGTACAACTTTGATGGTGGTCATCCTCTCTTTTATCCTTCTTTTGAGTAGAGAGTGAACTTCTTTGAATCTGATTCACTGCTTCCATTCTCTTTCTCACATCTCATTCATTCACATCTCATACATGGCATTCATCTGGGTGTGAAGTTTTCCCTCAACAAGCAAAGCAGCATCAATCAGATGCTCTTTCACTCACTGCTCTTCATACACTATCTTTTGAGATGTTCTAGAACCACACTGACATGATAACTACAAATTGCTTCATAGGTGAAATTATCACACTCTGAAGAAGCCTGCACTTCTCACTGGTTTTTAGACATGCTACCAGATGTGATTCAAAGGTTGCTTAAGCCAGTGTATGATTACAGGCGTATGCCGGCTTCTTATATTGTAATCTCATACGCTAAATTAATTAGTGTATGCTATGGCCCCTTTACACTCGTATGCGTACGCTAGTAGTTCGGAAGCGGCCGCGTGATTATCCGACGGTCGTACGTTCTTCCGAACCACATATGCGTGTTTATAGTGGCTGAGAATTGATGATTGGAAATGACTGAGAATCGGAGTGTACACTATGCATGTTCATAGCAGCCGTGGATTGATGATTGAAAGTGACTGAGAATCAGAGTATACACTACATATGTTCATAGCAGCTGCAGATCAGTGATTGAAAATGAAAGAATCTATGAAGTGTAATGAAATAGTCTATATAATTGATCAGGCACAGTCTGTCATATTAGCTCTCTCTTTTCAGAAGCAGTTCTCATTGATCAAGAGCTGCTGTTTCAGATAATATGAAACTCAGAGTTCAGATCAGTTAATTATAGCTGACTTATTTCATCAGATATTATCAGCTGCAGCTGTAAGATCTCTTATCAAGAATATCTTCAATCTCTCACTTAAGCTCATTATCTTCTTCTATGATGCCTGATGACTGTCAGTCAGAAGTCAGCTAAGAAGAAAATAAATCAGTGATAATATGACAGAGTAAGCTTATATAAAATATATTATAAATCTCTAGTAATATGTTAAGATAGTAGTTATAACTATCTAGAACTTCTATCACTTTATATCTGATGTGATAGTAGTCTAGTATATGAGATGAATATGTGATTTGTATATTCTTGAGATTCAATTATACAAGATCTTCTATCTTATACTGCTCTGTGAGATCTTGTTAAATATTGATTTAATCTTCTTAATCTTATTTTATAATTGTCATGAAGATCTCTACTCAGTCATAGATATCTTAAAGCTTTATTACTATATTATCAGTGATCTGAATTGAACTGCAGAGATTCAGTGTGCACTGTGTAATCTCTAGAAGATTCAATACTTTTATATGATACTTGTGTGTAAGAAAGAACAGACTTATATCTATTAAAATAGTATCTTAATCATTGATAGTGATCTCTGCATGTAGAAGAAGATCATATCAATTATCTTATAAGTGATTACAGAACTTATAAAGATAATTCTTTACAGTCTGAATTATTCATTTCAATACATTATCAGTCTTGAGATGATAGACAGTTAACAGATAATGTGTAATCTTGAGAATTTAACAGATTCTTGTTCAGAGAATGCTCATGAATTGACAGTTTTAATCTGATACTATCAATCTCAGTAATTCATGTATCTGATAGAATGAACTCTGTAAGAAGACTTCAGCAACTTGTTCAGTATTCATCTTATCATAAGATTTTAATATTATACTCTTACTTAGTCAGTCAATAATAATCAGAATATTTCTGCAGTTCTTACTCTCAGATAGATTAATAGTGAAGTCAATCACTATATCTTATCAGATTCTATCAGAGACATTGAGTGATTTCAGTAGATCTTTTCTATGATTCTTTTATAAGATAATAGAAGAACAGTAATTACAGTTTTGAATAAAGTATCTAATACTGTTTAATATCTCAGATCAGTAGAATTCTTGAGAGATTATTCTATACAGTTATTCACAGCTCAGATGACTGATTATACATGAATTATATATCTCTTATATTATCTGAGTGTGTAAGAGTTCAGAGTGAGAAACTCAGCATTATTTACAGAATTGTAGAATATTATTATTATTGATTGAGTATTCTGAGATATCAGTTCTGATACATAGTTCTGAGAGAAATTAAAGTGCTTCTTGATATACTGCTTCAGTGAGAATCTGAAGAAGTTCATCAGTCTGAGCTGCTGTATGCCATAGTTCATTCAGTATAGAGAAAGTGAAGATATTAATATCAGTTCTAATCAGAGAAGCATGTATGATGCTGTGAGCTGTTCTATCTTGATCAATTAATATCTTCAGGTTCAAGAGCTGATGCTCTCAGTTCATTCAGTGAGTATCTGTTATATCAGATGACATATCTTACTCTTGTTATAAGAGAGCATCTGTCATTGAGTTCTGACTGCCAGAACAGTAGTGTATTGTAAAATGAAAGCAGCTTAGAAACTCAGACCATCGCATCTATCATTCAGTAAGCCGCTTTCATTTTACAATATACTACTGTTCTGGCAGTCAGAACTCAATGACAGATGCTCTCTTACAATGAGAGTAAGATATGCCATCTGATATAACAGATACTTACTGAATGAACTGAGAGCATCAGCTCTTGAATCTGAAGATATTAATTAATCAAGATAGAATGACTCATAACATTATACATGCTTCTCTGATTAGAACTGATATTGATATCTTCACTTTTTCTACACTGAATAAACTATGGCATATGTGTATAACAACCGCTCCACCACGAACTCGCTCGATTTTTCGAATAAGAACCCGCCGATAGATCCATCGAAAAGCCCTCGATCATACGAGCATTCTGACCCCATCGCCGACCGCATACCCTGTGTGGTGGTGGAGTTATCCAGCCAAACGTGAACCGGACGTTGTTCGAAACTCCTGTGTGGGAGTATCCCCCGTTCTCCCCTACCACACCACAACCCCGGGCCAAAGTGCCATACAAATTGTAAGGTGAAGAGACCTAGCCATATGCACCAATCTTCTTGATTTTGGAAGATCCCTGATCTGTAGTTGTGGAGATATCTGAGGAGTGACCTCCGCGAAAACCCTGTCCATCTTTGATGTTCCAAAACACCAACGCCAAGTCTCACCGTTGTACCGCCCTTCCTAATCTGGCCCATCCCCAGCAGAAAAATACAAAAAGATACCTCGGCGATAATATCAAGCACATAACCAACGGCCACTTCTGAAGTGCAACCTCCGCGGTCTGTCTTCAGTGTATCTGGACATCAACGCCAAGTCTCGCCCTTGTACCACCCCTCTCAATCTGGCCCATCCCCGACAGAAAAGTACAAAAAGATACCTCAGCAACTGTACTCAATACATAATCGGCAGACACGACAACTATAAAATCAGTATACCCCAAGGTCTGACTGAGCCTTTGATCCCTGCACAGTGAGATATATTAAATCTAGTTTTAATATCTCAATATTCAATAGATTCTGCAAGGGATTGAGAACAGCAACACTAGGTTTCTATTGAATTTGAGAATTAACTCTATATTGATATAATCATTGACAAAGTCTTCTATTTTGAGATATAAATAACCAGTTCCTCTACATCCCGCTGACAATATTTATATTATCATATAGAAACAGACTTATATTCTCTATAATATCAAGACCCTGAAGAGAGAAAGTCTTGATAGAGAGTATACAGTAGTGCATATCTTAGCAGTTTCTATCTCATTCTTCTGCAGCAGTTAATGCAAAAAAAAGATTTTAGAAATAGTTTTTTACTTCTCTTAAAAAAGTAAGGTGTTTTTCTCTGAGTTTTACACAATATTCTTACAAAGAATTAAAAACAGAGTTGTTTTCTGTCATAATTTCATATTCTTTTAAGTAAGAATTACTTTTTCAGTGGCTGAAGAGCTTTCATTAATACTTAATTCTTTTTTACACTCTTTATTAACTGATTTGAGTTGCACACCTGTTGTGTGAGGAGAATTGAATAATTTAGAATAAAATTGAATAGTTTTAATCAATTTCTCTTCAAAAAATTGATTTATTTTTTGTCAGTTTTTCTCTCAAAAACTGTCATATTATCTGATTTACTATTAATTGATATCATACTTTTCCTCACTGTATCCCAAGAAAGAGATTGTAAAGATTTTATTGATTTATCTTAAAAATCAATTTTAGTTTATTAGATTCTCTTCAAAAATCTAACCTAGTTACTGAACTAGTGTGAAAAAAATCAGGTGTTTTATACACAAAAGTCTGTGATTCTTCTTTTGAAATAGTCTGACCAACTTTTCAATTGAAAACAGACTTAGAAACCTCTTAATTGAAACAGTCTGACCAACTTTTCAATTCAAAAGAGTTTAATAAATATCTCAATTGAATTAGTCTGATCAACTTTTCATTGAGTAAGAACAATGAGTTCAAAAGTACACTCAGTTGATGTGAAAAAAGATGCTTTCTCAAATGCTATTCCTGAGATTGAAATTCTGAAGAGAAGAAAGAAAGAAGAGATAGAGAAACAACAAGTTCTTGAAATACAGAAACTTGAAAAAGTAAGTAAAATTCTTGAAAAGCAGTGTCTGAGTGAGATGAATGAAGAAGTTCTGTTAATTCTTCATGCTCAGGCTAGACAACTACAGAAAGTGATCAAGTTCAAACTTGGAATTTCAAACACAGTTCAAAAAACTTTGAAAATTTCTAATACAATCACTGACTCTTCAGTTTACTCTTCTTTCTTTTCTACTTCTTCTTCTTCTTCTTTGAATCAGAAGAAAACATATGCTCAAGCAGCTGAATCTGCTGCCTCTAAATCTGCTGTCTCTAAATCTGCTGTCTCAAAACCTGCTCAAAATCCTGAGAAAACTGAGAAGAATACTGCTCATGCCTCTATTCATAGAAAAGTGGAAAAGAAAATGTAAAAAGAGAAAAACTTTCAAATCTCCAGAAATAGAAGACTTATTCTCAAAGTCTCAAATCAGGACATTCTGCAAAGAAACAAGTTAAACTCAAATCTCATTTTCAGAATCAGAAATGAAATTAACCAGCAGTTCTTTTCTCAGTTGATAACTGATATTGAAGTTCAAAAACCAGTTATAGCTTCAATTGAATTATCATTCTTTGAAAACTCCATCATTCTGACTACAATGCCTGAATTCAGTGCTGAATTCCTTATTCAGAATGAGAATCTCTGAAAGTCAGCAGTAGAATCTTTGTTAAACATAACAATTCTATCTGAAAGAGATGAAAAGTGAGACAAATTCATTCTTTATGATATTCCAGTTGAAATTTTTGACTGTGAAGAAGGAATGCTACTTCTCAAAAATGAATTGAAAGAATACAACTCTATTCAACTGAGAAAGAAGCCTGTATGACTAAATTCAATTGAGTTCAGACAAAGCAGGAGAAATGTCTCTGTTCTAGTATATACAAAAACACTTGAACAGTCAAAGATCTCTGAAGTAAGAGTAGCAGATTTGAAAATGAGAGTTCATGAATACAAAGACTCAAGAATGAATCTCAAAGCTCAAACACAGTGTTCAAACTGTCAAAGATATGGACACTTTGCAATCTCATGTTTTAGAGACTCAAAATGTGCATTCTGTGCCAGAGATCACAAAACTAGTGAGCATAAATGTGAAACATGCTCAAAAAGAGGTGAAATTTATCAACATACTCTGCTTAAGTGCTCTAATTGCAAAGAAAAACATGCATCTAGCTCAAAAGAATGTATGTTTGCTTCTAGAACTCAAAAGAACTGGAGAAAAGATGAAGCTCAAAGTCAATCTAGAACTGAAGAGAAGAGTCAAGCCAGTAAACTCACAACTGCAAGCTCAAAAAGAAGAAACTCTCAACTATCTAAGTCTTCAAACTTCAACTCTCCAGCTAAATGTAAATAGAACTTGAATTCTCAAACTTCTGTTAAGATTAGAGAATTGAGAAATGACTCTGATGATAAACTAGATATAATACAAGCAGTTGAGATTCCTACTTTTCAGAACAGTTATAATCTACTATCTGATGATAGTGATTAGATTCTACTCTACTCTCTTTTAGTATGAATATACAACAAAAACAATAAAAAAAGTTTAAAAACTCTTCAAAAATCACATTTATTCAAAATAATGTGGATAGAAACTCAAATTGTATTTATTCTTGTCTTCAAATTGTATTTGAACAAAAAGTTGATTTTATACTGCTTCAGGAGCTGAATTTTGATGCTGAGTAAAAATATGTTATTTCTCATTCAAGCTACTACTGCTTTTTACCTCAAAAGTCTGAGATAAAGTCAAGAGTAGTGATCTATGGAAGAAAGAGATCAAGATATCAATTTAATCTAAGATTTGATATCATGTCTGACTCTGATATTCTGGTGAGTGATATTATAGATAAAGAAAATGAGTTTGATACTATACAGCTCATAAATATCTATAATGAAAAGTCATTGAAGGAAAATAACAATATCTGAACAATTGATAGAGGATTTCTGAACATAACTCTATCAAGAAACTCTATAATTACAGAAGATTTCAATGCGCATTATCTCTGATAGAATTCAGAATGCAAGAGAGCAGTGAGAGCTGATAATCTGATTGAATGAACCTTTGAGCATTCAATAGATTTGATTAATAAGTCTGATCAACAAACATTCTTTAGAAAAGGCATGAAATAGAAGTCTATTATAGATCTAACCTTCATATCACAAAATCTAATAGAAAGAAGACTTGTAAACTGGTTTATTGATTCAAATGAGACATCAGGATCAGGTCATGAGATTATTCAATTTGATATTGAACTGAGTGAAAAACAAATGAGTGAAAATCCTCTTCTCTCTAATCAGTATAACTTTGAAAAAGCTGATTGAAAAGCAGTTGAAGAAAGTATAAAACTGCTAAAATCTGAAAGACAGAATGAGCTATATTGAAATTCTGGTCAAGATATCTCAAATGAAATGCTTAAGAATAGAGTGAAGCTTATTACATCTATTATTCTAACAAGTGTTAGAGATAATATTTCAAAAAGAAAATCTTCTGAGTATTCAAAACCTTGATGAAATGAGAATATCTCATCTAAAAGAAAAGAATTAGCTACTGTTAGAAGAGATTGAAAAAATGATGTAATATCTGATGAAGAGTTCAAAGCTGTCAGAAATGAATATTTTTCAGATATCAAAAGAGCTAAAACAGACTGCTGAAATAAATTTCTTGAAGAAGCATAAGAGAAGGAAATTTTTAAAGCTTTTAACTATACTAAAACAAGAAGTGTAGCAAAACTTTCAGCCTTAGAATATGAGTTTCAGAATGAATCATATACAGCAAACTCTTTTGAGAAAAAATGTCAAGCTTTCATAAGAATTCTCTTTCAGAACTCATCAGACTCAGATTCAGATTCAGAGAAAGAGAATATATCACTTCTCAACTATATTGATGAAAATGACTGAGAATGGCCTGATCTTACACAAGATGAATTAGAGTCAGCTATCTTCTCAAGTTCTGTTAAAACTGCTGCAGATCCTGATTCAATTAATCACTTGATTATTCAAAATACATATTCCTACTTAAAGAATGAATATTTTGAGCTCTTTTTCAATCTCTTGAAAAATGAATATCATTCTGAATGCTGAAGAGAAGCCACTGGAGTGATTCTTGCAAAACCTAATAGAAAAACTTCAATTCCTAAGTCATATAGAGTAATATCTCTATTGAACTGTTTAGAAAAGGTTTTAGAAAAGATAATAGCTACTTGACTATCTTTTATAAGCTCTATAGATGATTCTCTTTTATTCAGTGAATAAATGAGAGATAGAAAACAGTGTTCTGCAATTGACACTGTTCTCTCAGTTGTTCATGATATTCAAATAGCAAAGCATGAGAGTCTGGTCTCAACTGCAGTTTTTATTGATATAAAGAGAGCATTTGATCATGTTTCAAAGTCAAAGTTAATTCAGACATTGAAGATATTAAAACTGCCACTTTCTCTAATAAAATGAATTAACTGTTTTATGTCTAAAAGAATTATACAACTCTCCTTTGATGGAATGAAACAAGACAAGACTGAGATAAAAATAGAAGTACCACAGAGATCTTCAATCTCACCCATTTTATTTGCAATATACACTGCATATCTATTCAAAAATAGAAATATGAGAATAGTGCAATCTTCAAGTTATGTGAATGATATTGGTCTAGTCTACAGCTCAAAAACTATCAAAGAGAATTTGAAAGTAATTGAAGAAGCTGTAAAGGAAATCTTTGTTAGAGCAGATATCAATCAAATTCAATTTGATATGAATAAAACTGAGTTAATTCATTTCTTTTCTAGACTCAATGAGAAAGAACTATCTCTAACTCTTTTAAATAGAGAGATTAAACCCAGTGTAAATGTTAAATGATTAGAAGTATGGTTAAACTCCAAGTTGAATTTTAAATATCACATTCAACAAAGAACTGTCAAGGCAGAAAGACTATTGAACAACATAATCAGACTATCAAATACAGAGAGAGGTCTATTCTTTCAGGCTATGAGACAGTTATATATAGCCTGTATTACATCAGTAGCTGATTATGAAGTTCAAGTTTGATGAAATAATCAAGGGAATTTCACTGAACTCTTTCAAAGTCTGTAAAACAGAGTCTTGAGAAGAATTCTGAGAGCATTCAAATCATCTCCTATTAAAGCAATGGAAATTGAAGCTTCAATTCCTCCTCCTGCTATTAGATTTGAAAAGGCCTGTATAAACTATGCTCTGAGAGTTGTAAAGATGAGCTCAAATCATATAATCAGAGAAAGAGTCTCTTCTTCATTTCCATCAATTAACTCTGGAAATGAACTGGATTGGAATAGATTTCTTGATTGAAATGAAAATAATTCCTCAAAGAAAATGCCTTCTCAACTGTACAGACTATGCTCTCTGATTAAAAATCAATTTTCTTCTTTAAATATTGAAAAAGTTGATCATGAGAAGTTATCTCTCTGAAGAGAAAAGCTTGAATCTCTTATAGACTTACAAATAAGTGAACTATCAAAAGAGAAAGAATATGAACAGCATTTGAAGAGAATTTCTACAATCAATATAAAAGACTCTATTCTGGTTTATTCAGATGGCTCAAAAAATGAGAACTTGAATAGATTAGGCACAGGCATTGCTTATACTGAAGATAATATTAATTTTATCTCAGATTTCTGAAATCTAGGCTCTGAATGTGAAGTCTTTGATACTGAACTATTTGCAATAGTGAAAGCTTTCAAACTCATTGAAATAAAATCTCATAAAAGAGGAAATTGTTTGAAAGAGGCATGGATATTCTCTGATAGTCAAGCTGCTTTAAAAAGACTTAGAAATAGTCAGATTCATAATGATCAAATGAATCTTGAACTGATCTTAAACTCTGTTTTGAAAATTCAAAAGAGAAGAATATTAAAGCTGATAATTCATCTGCACTGAGTTCCTGCTCACATGAATATTCATGGTAATGAATTGGCTGATTCAGCTGCAAAAAAGAGTGCAGAATTAAGCAGATCTATTCAAAAAATTATGTCCTGGTCTTTTATAAAGAGAAAAATAAAAGAATCTTGTTTAGACAAGTGAAATGAAAGCTGGCAGAAACAAAAGAAGAGTATACATTATTCAAGATTTGAAACAAAACCCAAGTGGAAATCTTGTTCAATTAAATGTAAAAAGAAAATATTCTCATCTATAATACAGCTGAAACTAGGACATGGCTATTTCAAATCTTATATACAAAGATTTGATGATAGATTTGACTCAATAGAATGCTCATTCTGCAATACAAATGAGAATTCTGAGTATATTGTAATGCACTGTGCATTATACAATAGTCTCAGAGCCAGATTGAAAGAGAAGTATGATCTAAATCAATTAAATATGAGATTCTTATTCTCAACTGAGACAGGAATTAAA